AGACAATCAGAAGATTACATTTTAAGCTGATGTTCGTTGCCGAAATATTTCAGAGCGGACTACTTTAAAAGAGATGAATAGATTTAAAGCATTCCAGTTGTTGTGATCCGAGAGTTTTAAATATTGGTTCACTTTGAGCTGCTTCACGTGATGAAATCCAAAGTTTAACAGGGATCACATCTCACTCAGAGCTGCCTGTAAATAGATTGAAATGTATTCACGCTTTCGCTTGACTTCCTTGTTACATGTGATGTAATGTGTCAGTTATTTTAATAACAACATTAGAACATGGCATATAAAACAATGCATGTGTTGCTGTGCCCGCCCCCTTTTTTTGGTTAAGTAAACAAGGATGCAGATTCTTCCCTGAATCCCCCAAAAAGTCACATTTTCTGAAGCGGGAATGAAATGTTGTTATTAAAGTATAAAGATGTAATTACACAGACATGGAGATTAAGTGGTGACGCATGAATCTGTCCTGTTATATCTGCAGAAAACACTACTTAGATGATTCATAACGGCCAGGCTATGGATGCTTTGAAACTGGTCATTGCTGTGTGTTTGCAATCTTCTTCTGCATTTCTGGTTTTTAACGTCATGTTTTTTGTTCTTAAACATTATTTAAAGGTTTCATTTTTTTTTTTTAAATTCAGTTTCAAAACTTTTAAGATTGATCTTATTTTTCAAAGAAGCTTTGATTTTTATTTTTGATAGTGTGTTGTGTGCTTCATAGTGAGAAATAGAGGTTTTCACTTTTTTGCTTTGTGTTTTGCGTACTTGCTTTGTTGTAGTTTCAGTGTTGATGTCAAAGAGGCTTTAATATTTCAGTTCTGTCAGTGTCAGCAGTGTTGGCACTTTTAGACATAACTTCTCATGATGGATGAAACGTGTATGCTAGGTTCAGATGCATTGTTACAGAGTTGCACCGCATGCAGTTGGGATCGGTGTAAAGAGCAATTTATGTTGAAAACCTTGACTTACCTCATCCTGCCAGAGCGATGTAGATTCAGTTTGTGTTCAATGTTCACAGGCAATAACCAACTACAGTAGGTCTCATGGCTGATCACAGCTGGTACTGTGTCCACATCCTTTAACTCTTCCGTACAATGTTTGGAAAACATGCCCCAAGGTCTGTTGATCTATGCAATTAATTTATTGTCCTTACAAATGCAATACTACGAATATCCAAGAGACACCTCGTGTTGCGACAGTGGATCACCTCGCAGTGACTTTATATTCTGGCTGACGTGGCTTTTCTCTTTTCATTTTAAATCGTTTTTCTTTGGTTTTTGTGACACATTTGTCTATGGTTCATTAATTGTAAGCAGAATTGCAACATCAAAAGGGAACTTTTTCATACCAAAACGCGGTTGTTTTAATATGACTGTAGGAAAAGTAAGAACTCCTAAAATAAATAAATAAATATGGCAGATTTTTTTTTTCTCTCCATATGTTTTGAAGGCACATTGCCACTTTTTTGTTTAGTTTAGTTTAAACACAGGCACCATAGCATTGTTTTCATCATTCCGCTCATTTTTGACTTTTACGGTTTGGATAAATATCGTCCTATCTCGTTCTTTCTTAGCTGTTACTACAAAACCTTTTATTTCCAGGTGACAAATAAACCTCACAGAAATGCCTTAGATTTCACTGGAAGGGAGTGTGAAGTGCTACTCAGCTGTGTTGGGCTTTATCTCTGACTGGAATTGTTTTCATGCACTGCAAACTGTTGAAGTTTTTCTTTTTTTTTTAAACTCCTTGAGATACTAGATCTATGAAGCAAAGAAATGTTTAAATGCTGATTCACTATTGTGTGTTTACCATTCCACGATTTTAATCCAAATATATTGAAGACAAAAAAAATGAATTGTGGCTTATTGCTGCTAATTTTTAAATTATTTCATCTGAAGGTCATTTAATATATCAAGTCAAAAATGGGGTCAGTTTTGTAACCATGTCCATGAATTTGTCTGTTTGTGTGCATCGACCTCTCCGTAAGTGTTTGTGCCATGATGCAGGGCTTTTTGTTTGTTTCCTTCATAGAGAAGAAATCCCTTCAGTTTTTAAACTTTCGTCCTGGTTTGATTTTTGAACTTGCCATTTTTTTTAAATAAATTTTTTTTTCACTGTGACAGTGCTTTTGTTTGTTTGTTACCTAAAGTCCCTTTAGCAGGTTGAAGACAACATGGGATGTGCTGACCATGACAAAAACTTTACGGCATGCTGAGGAAAAACCTACACATAATCCAGGCATCTTAAATGCCATGTGGCTGAAACCCAACCAACAACCACTGATCTTGTCAATGGCCTGTTATTAGTTTATTTATAAGGAGCCCCATTAGCTTCCACAACAGTGGTTGCTAGTCTTCCTGGGGCCCAAACCATCGAATACCACCAAATAAAATGTTACGCAATGAGTTGGATGCAAAATGTCCACATATTTTGGCTCTTACATCCACAATAAGGTTTTACAATTCTGAAAATGTAAACATGTAAATATTAAAAAATTATAAACAAAACAAAACAAAACACTCAAACAAGTGACATTACCCTCTTACAATTTTTACAAATAAATTAAAAACTGCTTAAATAGGCTTTTAGGTGATTTTTAAAATTATGAATAGAAGCCAATTCTCTAATTGCATAAGGCGACTTATTCCACTGAAAAGATGCTCTAAATATAACAGAGTTTTTCAAAAAGTTACTTTTAACTTGAGGAGTTACTAAATTGTGGTTAGTTGAGAATTGTGTAGCATGATTATGTATTTCATCTGGATACTGCAACTGAGCATAAAAAAAGTGTGGTGTGTTTACCAGTATTGCTTTCTTTAAAAATACAAGTAAGCTATAGTATAATTTAGCTTGTACAGAAAGCCAAGAAAGTTTATTGTGCATTTTATCAATACTTGTATAATATGAACACCTTAACACTAATCTGGCCGCCCTATTTTGGACTAACTGAAGTCTGTTCAGATCTGTCTTTTTAGCTGCTGACCAAATGATTGAGCAGTACTCTAGATGAGATAATACTAGTGCATTAATGACATCTTTCATAATTGAAGAAGTAATTGTTCATAATTGTTTGTTGATCAGTGGTCATGGAAATTTGCATATTAATGATCAAGGAACTGACCTCACAGCCCATTGTTCATTCAGTAGGTTAGTTTGTCATTGTGCAAATGTCCTGTTTATAAGGCTGGGGAAGCCTGCAGTCAGCTTAGACTGAAGAAGTCACCTGGATGAGTGATGAAATGTTTCTCCCACTGAAAACACTACATCCAGAAACGATGCTTTGGGATTTACTTACCTGGACGACTGAGCGTGCATCAAGATGAGATATGCCATGTTTTCATCTAATCGCACTTTGGCAGGTATAAATAATTTTGCTTTGTTTTTTTTAAACTTATGTTTAAGTTTTCAAGATTCAGCTAAAGAAATGTGAACAAGTGTATTTTAGCAACAGGCTGCTAGTAGCAGTTTAAAATGGGTTCTTTGATGTTATTTGATGAAGCGCCTTGAGGCGACATTTGTTGTGATTTGGCGCTATATAAATAAAATTGAATTGAATACGCAGACATGCCAATGGTTCATACTTGAATTATTCATAGTCAATGTAAGTGGCTTAAACAAACATTCCTTTGAAATGGTCAGAGGAGCCAATGCCCCCCCACCAAAAAATCTTTGAAAGACCTTCAGAATGACAGAACTACTGCTCAAGAGCACTTTGAAAACATCCCTCTCCTTAGAAGTAAAATATAAAGAAACCTGTGGTGGCTCAACACCAAAGACAAGTTCATGCTTTAACTCGTGTCTTTGAAAGGACACATTAGTTTGAGTTTATGTGAAAGTATTTGGAGAAAAAAGCCACAATACATGAGAATTTATTTCTAAAACAGACTTGAGTCTAGATAAAATAGATAAGAAATACGTTCTTAAAAAAAGTATTTTACATTGTTTGCTGTATATGTTTTAAGTATATACAAAGTTCAAAATATACTGAATATACCAAAAGGTTGTTGAACAAAAGAACACCGAAATACATAAAATAGACTTTTAACCTTATTTTACACCATCAAGAAAACTGGATAAACAAATGACAAAACTTTTACCGTACTCTTACGGTGTAATTGTTTGGTTACACCTGCAAACCAGCATCAAGGAGAAACAATGTTTTCACTCTAAATCATACTCTGAGGTTATGTCACATTAATTTCTCAGCTTTACTGAAATGTCAAAGAACTGAGTGACAGTCTATCAATTTACCTGCAACAATGAGGTAATTACCTATTTTAATATTAACTTCACCTTTTAACATCAAAACTCTCTCAAACACAGACTATTAAAGTAAAATCCACACAGCTGTTGTCACACATAAGCTGCAACCCTGAACTTTGTAGACATTACAGCAAAGCTGTATACAGTAACACAAAAGTCCAAGTCAGACCTCCAAATGTCTTTAAGCTCCAGATCCCTGACAGAAAACCAGTG